CTCTGAGGTGACTCTGGGCAGTGCTGGTCAGATATGGCCCAGTTCCAGCATGGTGCAGGGACTGTGTCTGCTTCTGAGTGGAAACGCTTCGCTGCACTTTGCGGTGAGGAGGCCAGCTGGTGCTCTTTCTGAGGCCCCTGCTTGGCTGCACCTTAGCCAACGAGATGTTTCTATGGGAGATGGCCACCTCTGGACCAACAAAGGGTTGGAGGACATCATGGCCTCTGTTGATCCACCTGTCTCCCATAATTTCGGCYAGGGTGCTTCGCTTAGTTGGATTGAGCACCAGCAAGCGTTTCAGCAGATTTTCACATTCTGTTGACATGTACAGAGGGATTCGGTATCTACCTTGTAGCACTCTGTCTCTAAGTTCTCTCACATTGYGCCCAAAAAAAGGAAGCGACCCGGTGACTAGGGTGTACAGAACCACGCCAAGACTCCACACATCCACTTCTGGACCATCATACTCTATTTGCTGGAAGAGCTCTGGAGCTGCATAGGGCGGACTGCCGCAAAACGTGTYGAGTTTACACCCAAGTGTAAACTCGTTGCTGAGTCCAAAATCGGCTAGCTTGATGTTCATCTGTGCGTCTAATAACAGATTCTCCGCCTTCAGGTCTCGGTGGGCGACCTGCTTTTGGTGACAATATTGGACTGCAGACACGATCTGCCGGAATATAGATCTTGCCTCCTCTTCCTGCAGTCTTCCTTTTTTGGCCAGACAGTCCAAAACTCCCCCTCCACTGGCGTACTCCAGGACCAAACAGAGTGCTTTTTCGCAGTCCAGAGCTTCATAGAGCTTCAGGATGTGTGGGTGGTCTAACATCTTGAGGATTCTCACCTCTCTGTACATCTTTTCGAGGACTTGTGGCTTCAGGTGTCTCTTATCGATGATCTTGATTGCCACTTCTTTATCTGTGACGATGTGACGGGCCAGCATGACTTTGGCGAAGGTCCCCTTGCCGAGGGTTTTCACTAGTCTATAATCTCCAATGCGAGGCTGTTCACCTGCAGAGGAAGCTGTGGATTTTTGGCACTGTGCTCCAGAGTGCCCGGTCTGGGAGGTGTCTTCTGCCCGTCTAGCTCCATGCGAGGGGTGCATGGTTTGACCCAAGTTGATGATCGGTGGGTCTCGGTGTCACTGGAAAGTTTAGGATAGGTGAGGGCTAGGCAAGGACAGGGGGTGGGGGGGAAACAAGGAGAGAGTTGGAGATGGGTTGGGGAAAAAACAACCACAACTGCCTTTTACCAACAAATATCGTGCCCAGTTCAAAAACTCGCTCTGGGAACATCAAAGGCCAAAAGGCAAATGAGGAGTGGTTCTAGTTCCACTCATTTCTAGGATTCTCATTCTATTATCTCCTAGGCAGTCAATGCAGTCATAARGGTACTGACTGCATAAAGAGTGGTCATATGCACCCTAAGTGGACCAAGGACCCAGGCGCTTACTCTGTCTA